TTACAGACTGGAGAACAACAACTATGTGCGTAGTTGATTTATCAATAATGATGAAAGATTTTGGTGGCTTATAAGCTGACTGTGAATAAACAATGCCATGTTATTGCATCAGTACCACTCTTACAAGTGCCATAATCCTCGCAGTCAACTTGCTTCCAAGGCAGCAGGTGCACAGCACTCACCTTTGGCAAGCATACTTAAAGACTGGGATGGTTCAATATGGAGAGCAGTGAGACTGATGAAAGGTATAGAAGAAAGAGTAAGTTCAGTTAAGACCCTCAGGAGAGAGAGGCTGAAGAGGAGACTAAATCCTTTCCAAAAGATTGTTGTCTGCTGCAAATCAGGAAATGGAGTATCTGGTCTTCATGACCCTGACAGTTAAGAGAAGCAGCTAAATTGTTTCAAGGGAAAATCAGGAGAGTTCATTTTTAGTGATTAATGTTCCTAAGGGAGGCTGAAGTACTGGAACCTCTTCAGATTCCTTGTGAAAAGAAGTTAGACCTCTGTCAGGAGTGACCAGTGCAAGGCCTCTATTATGCAGGTGGATGGACCAAATGACTTTTAGAAATTCCTCTCTGGGCCTCTGGAGTTAATTACCACTGATTTACCAGCATAACTCATGTTTAATTTAACTAAATCAGTGTCGATTTCCTGGTATTGATGGAAAAGAAATCTTGTCTCAGCAACATCTATAGATATCTGGAAGTTTTCCACTTTGAGACCAAGAAATATCAAATGAGCAGGCAAAGAGAGGAACGTGGTAGGGGAGTGCATAAATCAAGTAGTAAATCGTAAGGCCTAACTTAAAACTCACTTCTCCAATTAGTATGTTAACTAAAAGTTGTTCACTTCATGCCACTTTGCCTCAGCCGCTGAATTTTGGTCATTTCAGAGGCAGATAAAGAATAGTAATGTGGAGCAGGCCTTTTACAGTAGAAGATGGCTACCTTGTATACTGCAGACAAGCTGTTGACTAGACAACTTTCAGAATCTAGTGGTCCACTGAATGCTTTTAGTATTGTTGGCATTTCGTCTCTTCTTTCCTTTCATCTACATTCCCTCATTCCTTCATAGTCTGCTTAATGCTTTGCATTTTTTTTATGTTCTTCTGTACCTGATTTTTGGATTCTCAAGCTTCCTTCTTTATTTTTACTCAGAGGTAATTGTCTGTCTGCGCATAAGTGCTCCACTGAGGGTGCAAGTAGGAAACTGGGTATGTGTTATTTCACTTCACATGTAATTCTGTAGTCATTTTGATTCTGTTCTCTCTGAAAGCTCTATTCATGTTTCCTGCAGGAACTGAGAATCATCCTCATCTAGTCGTTTACTTATTTGTATGAAAAGACGTATTTAACTCTACCACGGCGTTTTACATCAGCTTCTTCTTGCTTCATTGCTTTATTTATTTATTATAGATCACTTGTTAGTCTTTCAACAAAGAAAATTCTTGCATTCAAAAAGAGGAATAGGGAAAAACAAAGATAGTTGACTTTTTGCTCAGCTTCTGCACTCCTTTTATAGACAAAAACCCTGAGAAAACAGTTTCTTTAAGTTCTCATCTGGAGAAATGATTGACTGAGGGAATAACCCATATCTGAGGCTCCTAACCTGAGGTTCCTAGAATCAAACTTATCCACGCTTTTGAAAAGGTTCAGGTATGTATCTGAATCTTGAGTGAGATGTTTGAGTTTATATATTGTTAGATGATGAGTCAGCAGAGTTACCCAAAGCTTATCTGGCACGCAAATGGCTCCCAGAACATAGAGTTAGGACTCCAAACCACTCAGCTTTCTCTCTGCCCCTTTGGCAAATTCAATAAGGCTCCTGTTGCTGCTTACAGGGGAGCCAGGCTCTTGCATCAACTGGAAAAAAAGCAAGGAGTTGGAGCACTCTAGTCCTAGCACAAAGCTTGTGTTTCATGCTTGCTGCTCCACTGTGGCCCTTAGGTCTGATAAGCTTGTAATTATTCCAATTCTCCTAACTGTGTGAAGGCATATAACAGAACTCTTTCTGTATTCCAGAGTTATCAGCATTTGCTTCTCTTTGAATATGTTTTTGTGGAAGGAGCTTAAAGTCTTTCAGGCCTCGCCTTGGGCGTGATTTGACCTATGGTACTGTGCAGCACAAAGTGCACCTAAGTGGCACACTGGAAAGGTGCTATTTCCCCCTCTTATTTCCAAAAAACTAAAATTAAAATACATCCCAAGATTTCTTACAGTTGTATTTTTCCATGCTTCTCAGTGCTGATACAGTATCACCTGTAGTTGTTTTTGCTGTTTTTTTTTTCCCCTTGGAAATGCCAAAATAAATTAGATGCGTGACAGCCAACTAATCTTGTGACTACCTATCTCAGTGTTCCTGTGTTCTGGAACATGGTATCCTGGCTCGTTGGACAGATGCTGCCTGTGGCATTTGCTGTTACAGCAGTGTGTGTCTGCTCAGAGACCAGCATTTCTAAATGGCACAACTTCCCCTGTTCTGAGGTCACTGGGGACAGGCTGGAGGAGGCACAGGGGGCACGAGGTGTCCCCCTCCCTCAATCTCTGCAATGGGGAAAAGTGCTCTGCTGGGAGATCTGCCTTGTAGGGCTGTGGGTGTCTTGTTAGTATAGCACCTATCCCGCCCCCACTTTGCAGTCATCAATTTGGAGATGCTCTCAGCTTATTTCAAAGCCAGTTAAAATTGGCTGTATAATGGTAAACCAACAGGATGGTTTTACATGCTTTTAGCATCATTTGCTTTCATGTCTCTAAAAAAATACTTAAGTCACTTTTTCTCCCTCTCTGCCTAAAATCAAACTGAACGATAAGGATTATAAGAAAGGCCTCGGGTTCCACAGAACATATTGGTATCATATCACAGAACATAGTGTAATATATAATAGATGATTGGGTACAAAGTAGCAATAATAACTGCTCTAGGACAAAACCCAACAAAGCTATTGTGGCACCCCCACCCTCACTCCATCAGCCCTGTGAGACTCTGTGTATTATTCCACCCTGCCACCAGCATCCTGTCCCATCCCTCTGTATCTGTCTGCTTTTGTATCTTGTATGTGTTCTTCAGCAACTGGTTAATGAACTCACAAAGCAGGGGCTGCTGCTAAGTGATTTCCTCTAGTAAAGACTGTATGAGAAGTGCAAGATCCAACTGTGTGTTATCCACAAAGCTTTAGAAGTGTTGGGCCACCTCCAGCACAGGTGAGAGGCATGCATAGCTACCACCTCGGTAGAAGTGGAGCAAGTGGTGCCTTGGAGCACAGCACATCTGCTCTTCACTTGCATGTACACGGCAAGTCCCATGTACACTGAGGTCTGTCTATTCTGTATCATATGTCTGGCAAATGCAGCACAGCCAGCACACATGCAGCTGAGGAAATACCACTTGTGCATGGTGGGGTTTTTAGGTGTCAGGAAATGCAGGTCCCAGTGCTAGGCTTCATCCCTGGCTTTTTTGTTGCCTAAGTAAGTGGGCAGCAGAGATGCAGACAGTGCTAACCAGGGCTTACAAGTGCTAAGCTAAATATAAAGCACGTTGATCATGGCAAGCGCATAAGAGGGTTCAGTAAATGTTTATTTTGATTAAACTATTAGCAAGAATAGCAAATCCCATTATGCTGATCATTATTATACTGCTTCCCTGTCCTCTCTTTTCTCTTACTCCTCCCCTTCTGTTTTTCTTTTCTGGAAGACTGTAAACACATATGAGGACATTTCTCATTTGGAAGGCTGTGGCTATTTGAAACACCTTCCAGGCACTGTCTGGAGGTGAGTAGCGCCTGCATGCTGGACTCTGCCTTATTGGAGCTAGCTGTGTGGCTAACCTCTGCTCAAGGAGGAACAACTTGAGAAAAGGGCCTGAAAAAAATGGAGAGAGAGTGCTAGTGAGAGAATGACAATGTTGGCAAGTATTCAACCTGGGAGTGCTGTCTTAGTGTTGTTTTTTTTTTTGGTAGGAATACAACATCAAGGAAGAAGGAGCATCAGTCATAGATTCACAGTTAACACATGCATTAGTGCTAAAACATTCTGTTTGGTTTAAGGAATTCAAATCTCTCATTTCCACTCAAATTAAAAGCAACCAGGCACTCAGATCCCTTAGTCAGCTTCAGGAATCTCAGAATTTCAGTCTGTAAATGCAGTGTTAGTTGGATATAGCAAATTTGTTCTAAACACACTTTGAAGTGCAGTTATATTGCAGTTTATGTTGTGATGGTATTTCCTCTCAGTCACAATTCCATGCCTGCATGGAGTAGCTCTCTGCATCTCAGTGGACTGGGGAACTCTATAAACAAACATGGACCATCCTCACATCCTTGGGCAAGCAAAATTTCCAGTGGTGTCTTTAGGAGCATGTATTTGTTCATACAATGTCTCTAGGTTCAGACAGTGGAGACTGCTGTACACAGGTAGATGTTGGTCTTTGAGTGAAGGACACTTTGAGGGGGAAAAGCAGTAGGCAGGTGGTGGCCCACACAAGTCCTCTATGTTGCACAAGGTAGCATGCACAGAATGGAATGACACAAACTGAGTTGAGAGCCCTGGCTCAAACTGGGTTCTGGCTAAAGGACACCTTTCCTGGAATATTCTGCAGAAGCGGTATTGGTGTTATTAGTATAACAAGTTGCTTGTTTTAATATGTAAACTAAAAACCACAAAGTTTTCATTAAGAAATTTTCTGCCTTAGCATGTTTCTCTCCCAGTGCTGTGACGTTCTGGAATTAAAATATTTGTTTCCAATCTGGCTGGATATCAAGCTGATTTAATGCCTTATAGAAGCTGTTCTGAAAGCTTTCCCTCTGGAGTCCTCTTTTTCCTCTCTGGATCCAGCTCCTGGGTGGATGGCATCTCTTACTATCAGTCAGGTAGTTCTGAGTTACGACTTCAGATGAAGAAAGCTAAGCCCTTGCTTTTTTTCTTTGCAGAGAAATTATTCCTTCATTTTCTTTTACCTCATGTTTTTTCTTCTTTCTCTCTCTCTCTCTCTCTCTCTCTCTGTGTGTGTGTGTGTGTGTGTGTGTGAGTAGTAGGTGTACATATGCTACAGTGACCAGTATGCAGCATTGTAACAATAACCCCAAATATCAATGTCCTCTTGCTTACGCATTAGGCTTGAAAGTGAGTTAGAGACCTGTCTCACAGTTCAGAAGTTGCTTTCTGTCTTCATCTGCAGTTTTTCGTTGTCCTGTGACTGAAGTCACTACTCATGTTCTCCCTCATTTTTGATCCCAGCTGTGCTCCTTCCTGTAGCATCTTCTTTTTGTGACGTTAGAATATTAACGTGTTGCTCCATGGGATTCCTTCCCTGCTGAAAAATATTAGGACAGTTGTAGTTCTTTAGTGCTATTCAGTTGTTTCATATAACTTCATTCAGATGGTGCCATTTTACTGCATTCCTTCCCTCATCACGCCTGCGCTGTGTTGTTTCCACCACAGCAGCCACTGGTGAGTGTGTTGTAGTAGAAGGAATAGACTTCAGTTCCACCTAATGTTCAACACATCATCTACAGCATGCTTCGTAGCCCTGAGCCAAAACTCAGGAATACCAAAGCAAAGATTGCTGCTGAGAACTAGGCACTTGATGGTAGAGCTGTAGGCAGAGAGCCAGGGGCCCTTTCCCTTTTTCCAGGGAAAGATCAGACCAACCAGCTGGGATTCTTGGCGATCCACTCTGTCACTAACTTACTTCTGGACCTTGCTCCATCCCAGCAGGGCTGAGCTGGCCATGCAGGACGCGCTGCTTGGCTCTGTCATGTGTGTGCAGTTAAGCCATGAGTGTGCTATCTCACCTCTCAGTTTTTGGACTTCAGGAGTGCATAGGGCTGCAGAACTCTCTTCTTCAGGAAAGTCAGGGCACAGTTCAGTGGGCAAAAGAGGGCTGTGATGCAGAGGGCTGCAAATAGAAAAGTTTTGACCAACCTGCAATTTCAACCACAAGCTCAACAGTGAAAGGAAATACTAATCTGTCCAAATAAATTAATAAATAAATAAATCCATTTTCAGCCTTTATGGGCTTTGGATTACCAGAGCCAAGCAAACCACAGAGACAGTGCTCTCCCATCCCACCCCTACTGCAGTTCCCTTTTTATGGGGGCTGTGGGGACAGGGCTGCTTATGCTAAGCTCCATCTGCACTGCGCAGCTCTGCACTGTGCCCCTCCAATGTGACCAGAGCAAAGGAAAGGAGCAGCAGAAGGTTAACAGGGTCTTTATGGATGCTGCCTCCCACCTCCTTCCCCACTGTGCTGGCCAAGGAGAATGGGCTTTGTTTTAGAAGATACCAAATGCTCAGTGAGACATTTAAAAAAAGAGTCTTTAAAAGATATCAAGGAAAAATAAAAACAAAACAAACTTATTTGATGAAACATTTTATAGATATTTTTCTCCCTCATCTAGACATTTCTAGAGAAATGCAGTGCGTCTGATTATACTCAGCTGCTACAAGTGTTTTCTTACCCGGAACACTGAAAATCATCTTCCATTTATGAGGGGTTCTTCTCTCTGGTAGCCTGCATGTGTCTGGTTCCTCTTCTTCCCATATCAGGAGTGATGGCTTCTTCATCAGCCCATACGTGCCTGCCAAATTAACAGGGTCTGAGCTAAGTTTACTCATACAGCAATTCATGAATTACGACATGAAATATTGCCACTTTAAATTACTCCTAATTAGAAACCTGAATGTAATGAGATCTATAGTATCCATCCATGACAGGGATGAGGGAGGCTGTATTTTGCAAGACATATTAGAGATAGTGATGATCGAAAGACAGCTATTCCTTCCCACACCTCAGGATTTCCTTCCACAGTTATTCCTTCCACACAGGATTTCTTATTACAGGTCTCATTGGAACACTGGAATTCAGAATCTTTTCTTTTTTTTTTCTTTTTTTTTGGCAAGCTGAAATTGTTTTTATGATTTTTTTTTTTTTTTGTGTGTGTGTCAGTTCTACAAGGAGACCCAACAGATTATGTAGTAGAAAATCCAACTGTATGAACAACCTAATATTCTTCAAAGGTGCAGCAAAATGCAGTGATGTCAGATTATTTGTACAAGCTCACAACAATTTTATGACCAGCCAAACATTAGCTTTTTCTCTTTTTTTTTTTTTTTTTTTTTCTTAGAATCAAAGAAAGTAAAATACTTTCCAAGAAATACTCAAGGAAAAATCAAATGGTATTTATTAGAAACCGTCACTTGCTGGGACTTGTTCCCTTTAAGGCACTTACTTCCTTTGTAATGGTGAGTTATTGCATCCAAACATCTCAAGGGACAAATTCAGGTTAAAGTTTTCTACTTCATAAGGCAAATGAATTGGATTGGGGCCTGTTTGTCTGCAGCACAGTGAATAATCTTTGAGAGGCGGCATTTATCTGCTTACCTAGTTGCAATATAGAGCACCAAAAGGCTCTGATCCATAAAAATGTAAGGGAGCCTTTAAACCTAGTGTCTGCTCTTAGTTTCTGCAGACAGTGCATATTAGGGAAAGGTGGTGCTAATTAGACAGTTGAGGAGAGAGTTGACCTGTCTTGCTGTAAGGAAAGAAAGCTGGAAAAAGGATTTGAGGAAAGTACTGCTCTTGTTCCTAGGAAGAACCTAAGGAAATCTCTGGATAAGTTTCTGTGCCAGCCATTGGCCTTCTCTGTGCCATGTTTGCCGAGACCTGTGAAGATATTAGAAAGCTAGAACAAAACATACACTGGTCTCTTGTTACCTGTCCATTCATACCTGTATGCTTGCCCTGAAGAATGTGACTTAGTCTGAACACACTTGATTCACATCTGTCCTGCGCCAAACTGTCTGTACCTCTGTTCTACTCATTACCCCATTTCTATATCAAATTGTTATCATATCTCATTTATTGTGTCTGGTTGATAAAGTGTGGTGCCAGATGTATTTTAATTGCATGTGGGCTAAGTGTGGCCCATGGTGCATCCCTCTGGGAACGGGCAGAAAGGCTTGCCTTGTCCACAGTCCTCTCTTCTTCAGCACTTTGCCTCTCTGCTTCTTGGAAAACTGCAATAAGACTTAGCCTTATTTTACCCGCTCCCATATTTTAACTGCATTACCTTGTTTCACATCAAACTGAGTGACTCCACACGACTGATGAAGTCACAACCTGTGCCCCAGAGCTGGGAGCATGAATAAAATATCTGCATGAGAGGTCTAAAGGGAAGTGCAGAGAGCAAGTGGATGAAGGAAACATCTCTCTTGCCACTTCTCTTTCCAGCATACAAACATTTGGGGACTTTGGGGTCATTCTTTTTTTTAAGAGTATGTCACTGATTCTCATCTGCCTGCATTTTTATTTTCTGGACATTTTATAAATAACATTGAAGCTCTCTATTATTGAAGGAATGGGGAAGAACGGAATTGTCTCTCCCTTTACAGGCTGTAAATCAGTCACACTGTATGTATAGATATTGGAACTGATTGGGAATTTTCCATCAGTGTGGAAAATGTGGCCTAAAAGCTTTCCCAATTTTGTGTGAGTTTTGGGTAGCAAGAAAAGAGAGAAGATACACTTTTAATATATGTAAATATCAAATCACAAAAGTGACCATAAGGAAGGAATGGAAGGCACGTGACTTGAGTGGAGCTTTTGCTTTGTATTAGTGCTATCATGATTCGTTTGACAACTGCCAGAATGGAAGTGGGAGAAACAAGGCTTTAATGGGGAACAGACGTTTTCCCTTTTACAGTAAAAGGGCAATTCAAATGCCAGAGGGATATGGGGAGTTAGAAAAATTAAAAGCAAAATAAAGAAACGTATAAGAACTAGGGTGGTTTTTGGTTGTCTGGTTTTGAGTTGTGGGTTTTGGTTAGTAGAGTGTTTGTTTGTTTGCATGCTTTTTGGCAAACTCCAAGGCTTAAATGGACATGTGTGATGCATGCATTGTGTTTCTACATTTTGGACAAGGCAAGATGGAGCTGAAAAATGTTACAGAGATAAATGGGGAAAGCTCATGCTCGTATTCCTTAGATGGTCAGACTTAGATATAAATGTGGGTTTTATATCACTGGGGAGATCTCTCTGCTGCCAAGGCTTTTTACAGGAGGAGCTACAATTATTGTTTATGGTTCATCAGTCTATTGTATTAAAAAGTGAACTTCACGTAGTCTGTGTTTAGAAGTGAGTGCTACCTGGTGTAGCTGTCAGGCAGGATAATTTCATGTCCTGAAAAACAGCTGAGACTTCAGAGAGCAGTTTCAAACTGCTTGACCAAATCAAGGTGGTGAATGCTTCCGGATAATAAATGCAGTCCCAGAACAAGACTAGAACAACTAGAACAAGCTGCCCAAGAACAAAAAGAGGGATCTATTTCTTGGACAATTTCTTCATAAAAAATCAACTGACTAGCTACAACAAAGCAACAAGTCTATGAAGTTTTTACCGTATGTATTTATAATACAATAACCTGAAAAACAGGTTGATTATAACTTCTGATGGCAGACTGCTGCTGATCTAATCTGGTGTAATTCTCATGGAGACTCTATCACTAAGTCAATCCACCTGAGGTGAAATTGGCTCTATGCTAGAATCTTTAGAACTTCAGTACCACAATTCAGTGCCACAGCAAAGCTGCTATGGCTGAGATGACTGTGGGACCAGCCAAGTCCTCCATGCTGCAGCAAGGAGAGCAGTGAAGGAGTTTGTTCCTGCCCATCTTTTCTTACTGAAAATGTTTCTTCTGAGTTACCTGGGAGTTTGCAGCCTAAGTATTGCAAAGGCAGTCCACCAGTTGGACAGAGAGCTTCAAGAGTTAAAATAATCTACTCCAAAGCTCTGTAATTAAAATATAACTTATTTGTGTGTATCAAAGAAGCATTTATTTATCACATGTAGCAATTCAATTGTTATATACATTGTCTTACTATGAAATTTAAATTAAGTCTCAGCAGTTCTGAGGTGTATCTTTACATGCTGTAACATAAGAAAACAGAGTTCAAAGTAACTCTTTCACTTGGTTCCCTTTCCCCATTGCAAATACTCTTTCTGACAGATGGTCTCATTTTTGAGGGAGAAATAAAACTGTAGAACTCCTTGAGTTATAATCCTGGTGTTTTTCCAAAATATTGGTCTAGTTGGAAGCTGCCCAACTCTGGTTAATGAATGGCAGTGCTCTGTTTCTAAACTGGTGCAAAGTTAAGTCCTCATTTGGGACGCTTTTACATTAGCATAGAGGTTATATTAACAGATATGAATAAAAGTGATTTAAGAGACCAGCGTAGTTTAGTGTTGGGCAAAAGTGATTAAGAAATAGTTTCCTAGGTAGTTTTGCTCTTATTTTACCATATATCTCTAATCCTACCACTGCAAATGCATGAAAATGTGTCATTTCTTTGTTTCAGGAACTACATTTCATAAATGCAGATGCTCTACTGGTGATTTTTACAAATATTCTTCAGCCTTGTATGGCTTAGTGATTGATGAAACTTAGAAATGGAACCCTTGCCTGGGGTTTAATTTACAATGAACTTACATGATGGGGGTCTACTTCCTGAGCTAAATGGGGGCAAAATGGGGAGGGTGCAGCTTTAGGATGCTAAAGGAGGCTTTTGGCAGAATTCAGGAGCCAATATAACATAAGCATCCAACTACCAGAGCTTGTTTGGTTGTTTTTTGTTGAAATAATCTTTCTTTGTTCCTGCCACCTGCAAACATAAGATTTGGAAAAAAGCTTATTTGGAAGAAAAGAAAAAAAAAAGGAGGCAATGGAAGCATGTGGTTCTTTTACCTCCTTCTCTTTCCATAGAATATACACATTGCTGGTATTAGGAGTGAACATGGCAACAGGCTCTGAATGCATGCAAATAAAATAACCCATTTTGAAAATATAGCAGCTGAAGATGCATTTTTAATTAATTCTTCAATATCTTGGCTTGCAAACAGAAGTCCTCTATGCAGCAAGGAAGAGATAAACAAAGCAGTGATGTGCACAGCAGGGCTCATGGGTACCTGCTGTATTTTACAGCAAACTGAACCCACAGTTCATGGCTCGGCTCGCTTTCCCTGCTCACGTGTTTCCGCATGGCTGGCTGGCTGCTTTGTTCTTCTGAAATCTTGATGAAGTTCTCTGGCCTATAAAATGCAGGTCAGACTAGCTGATCAGACTGACTCCTGCTAGGATTACAGGATTACAGCCTGTGATCCTGTGCAGTCCTGAGGACTCTGCACCGGTCTGAAGTGCCAGCCCTGTCCAGCACACAGTCCTGCGGTTCGGTTCGACAGTAGCAGGCAAGAGGGTTAGCAGCAGCAATGTAATGTGTGAGGCACAGAGGTTTCAGACCCAAACAGGCTCTGCCTACTGGCAGTGAACAAGGGATGGAGATGGAGAAGTGTTACTGCAGCACTTCTGGATTGTGCAGCTCTTTAATCATGGTTTTTTTTTTCATACGTGTATGTCCAAGGGTGCTTGGCAGAGAAGTTGTCTGTTGAAACAAGAGAATTACAAAAGCACTTGAGGGAAGGAAAAGCGATCTCCTGCAAAACATCCACAGCTGTCGATGTATAGCTTCTTTTTGAAGGAAAAATTAAACCAAGTATAGATGATGCACAGGTTCCTTTTCTCCCTTTCGTCCAATAATAAATAACTCCTCCCAACCTATATTTCAGAGTGAGATCTGATTTTTCTGCCTAGGTAGTTGCATGGCTCTGATTGCTACTTCTCTAGTAAGGTGCTTCTCTGGTTTTGATGAATCTCCAAAAGGTAAGAAGGCAATGCATTATGAACTGTTTTTTCAAAGACTTCTGGATAACCTGTATTAAAGGTGCAAAACCATAGCCACAAGAATTAATCATCTGACTCAGCTCCAAGCATAGTCACTTGCAGACTGGAAAATAGCACAATTTATTCAAGGTGGCCTGCTGTTGTTGTAGGTGAGTATAGTTAAATAATGCAGCACTCTTTAAAATTGCATGAGTATATGATTTCCTCTACCTTATTCATTCATAATTCCTGCTCTCTTGTAGTTTAGTGCAGTCAGTGATTCAGTAATTATCACATCTGTTTGATCTGTCTCTGAGGTGAGTGGGAATGGTTGGTTGTGCATCGCCCTTGCTTGTGCCCTGCTATAATTCTGCAAAAGAGAGCTCAATTTTCCTTCTGAGCTTAGGAATGACTGTATGGCCTAGCCTTTCATCTTGAGGTGAATGTAGCATGGAAAAGTGAGTGAGGAAGTGTTACTTTCTAATAAAATCATCTGATCTACTGCACTGCAGTCCTTAGGAAGCAAAAGAATTTGTACAGTGCTTCCAATGTGCAAAGGAGTGCTTCAAATGTCTGCCTCCCATTGAGGCACACTGCAGGCTCTCACTTTCTTGGTCTCTCAATCACAAGAGTGCCTCCAGGGACTAAACTGCATGACTGACTAAAGTAAGTGAACGCTGAGGGAAACGAAGCAAAGGAGGTGCCAGGAGTGCACCTGTCACCAATGTCTAGTACAGAACAGAACTGCAAGAACAGCTTGTCCTTTAGAAGAGATGGAGACTGTCCAATAGACCATGGGGCTGCCTTGATAATTCAGTGCTCTGTTTTTCTGACAGCACCAGTACACAGTGTTGAGCAAGCAACTGCATCTGGAGCCACCCTTCATTGTCCAGGATTGGCAATACTTGCCACTAATGGTTGATGCCCTCAGAGCAGTCAGCTGGATTAACTGAACCTGCCTGTTTAAATTGATTAAATCGTCCAGGTGATCTTGCCTGGACTGACTTAGGAAGAGTTCTTAGGAGCTGCTACCAGCAGCATGTTGGGGAGCAGAACAGCTGGTCTCAAACACTCTTCCATGTTGGCTGCTCTGTGTACTTCGATGGCCGTCCACAGACCCACATACATTATAAAGGCTGGTGGAATGCAGCCTGGAACACAGAAAGTCTTGAGGGAGTTTAAGACACCAAAAGGAGGAGACGGAATCTCTCAAAATAGAAGTTTTTCAGAGCAGCAAATGAAAAAACAGAGTTCAAATATTCTGTAACACACGAGTAGGTTGAAACTAGATGTGAAACAGCAGTTTCTCCATTCTCTCTTGTCCCAGCACTTCAGTGTGGTGAACCAGACTCCATGCAAGTTGGGAAAACAGGGTTACTTGATCGATCTTTTGCAAAGCTCAAAGCAGCCATTCTTTGGGCATGAAGCAGTAAATACTAACTTCAGTTAGCCTAGTGTCCGTTGTGCTTGTGTGTCTGATTAGCTGAACTCCAAGGTACTGCAACAACTGAGACTGCAGCAATTAGCCCGGTGCTCTAGTTGTCTGAACTCTTCCCACATCGGTCAGGTTGCCATCTGTTGGGTCTTGCCCATCTCCACATTTTTTTCCTCCTTGTCCTGCCCCACCCTCACTGCAGTCAACCCTGAATGTCAGGAAGTGGCTGCCAGCAATTCCATGCAATGTGCCCGAAAAGCAATACAGCGCAGCAGTTTCTCAAGAACTTGATCCCCGAGCGCTCGGGTGCAATGCCAAGAGCTCTCACAATGTTGGATAGTATAAGCCCAGCTCCTGGAGGTGAGCAACTAAGACTCATTCACTCCTGTTTCCCCTCCTGTCTCTTTGACCTCCTAGTCCTAGAAAATATACAATCTAGAGGCACCAAAAGTTAAAATGCTAAAAAAAATAAGACTTCTTATGAACCGAGTTAAGCTATCAGAAAACATACATTATACTTTTGGAAGGGGGCTGGTTTGCATTTCTCTATATCCTTATGCTACTTGTACAAACATTTATACCTTGTAATACCTTAAACTTTATTACTGCAACCTCAAAGTAAAGAGGTTAGCTTACTTAGATCTGTAGGCCTGTACTAGGATAGCAAATAGATGATTTCAGCTGTAAAAAACCTTCAATTCTAGGAGTGGCTGTGATTAGGGGTTTCTGTTTTTATTGTATCACTTGGAAGTGACACATTTTGCATTAAAATAGCTACATTTATGTTAAAAAATATATTTTTATTCACACTAGCAAGTCGTCGTGGTTAAGATTTCCCATGGGAACAAGTTGTTTAAAAAATATACTACAAAACCAAATATGAATGTTCCTTTCTTTGGAAACCAATAGTTGTATACAAATAAAGCATGTAAGAGAAATCTTGACAAGGAGAGTTACAAAATTGTTCTTCCCTGTCTTTGCCCCACAGTACCAACTGCTGTCTCGTCCAGATCCTGCTGACCAAAGTCATCTTGAATGTGCAGACCTATCAATGTAGTCTTTTGGTTTGGTTTTAATTGCTTTACTGTCAGTCAGGTACTGGCAAATTCACTTAACCCATGACAAAGATATTAAAGCAAATCTTGTAGAAGAAATACCAGAAATACTCACTTGAAACCTCTAACAAGGAAAACTAAGAAAAGTTTGAAGTCTTGTTCTTTCTTGTTTTCCTTAAATTCCTGACACAGGCCTTTGATGTGCTATGCAATTGGGTCAGCACATGGGAAATACATTTTAATACATTCGCATCTATGAAGTGAATACAGTGCATGAGATTCTAAAAGTAAAAGCTCACGGATTCCACGATAAAGATAAAAAAAAAAAAAAAAAAAAAAAAAAAAAAGACTTACAAAAGCCTTTATTTACCCAGCACCATGATCAAAGTAACCCAAATTTTAAAAGATATTACTGGGGCAGATCATCGTGTAGTTAAAACAGTACAGGCCCATGGAAATCACCAGCTCCCATGAAATTATACTGGCTAACAAAGCGTCAGTTGTTGGTTTCCAGAGCAGGAGCTGATGGTCAGCTTTGTGAGCTTTTAGGTCTTGCCTATTCAAGCAAGCTTAATCGGTATGATTTTACAGGATCCGACCACAGGCATTTCTGGTCTGCTGTGTGCTTCTGAGGAGAAAAGCAATGGGAGAGAACCTGTGCCGCTGGGCCATCAACAGCTGCAGCTGGCTGCAGGAATTGGATGGAGTTCCCTACCGTGTCTCTGGTGGGGTGTCTGCAGCAGGGGAGGCCCCATGGTGTGCACTCTGTCCTGCAGCACGTCCTTCCTGTGCACAGCCTGGGAGCACAAAGAAAACTTCCAGTGTTGGGCAGCAATGCAAAGGGTCTCGTCTTTTCTCAGGGGTGTCAAAAGAGTGCTCTTGGAGATTCTGGCTCAGTGTTAGCGAGCAGGGAGGCTGCCTTGGGGAGTCCTCAAAAGGAGACTCAGAGAAACCGCAGTAAGAGTGAGGAAGAGAGGGATGGATAAGCTGGAGAAGGAAGGAAGCAGTACGGGGAAGCAGTGAGACAGCCTCACTGCTTAGACATACCTTGGCTAGGAGGTATGGTGGAAGAGAGAGTTGGCCTCTTCCCAGGCCTGTGGGCAGTGAGGTTATAGCCCAGACAGTCACTCCCAAGTGGCATAAAACCAACATCCATGAGGACAGAGACTGGTGGGTAGCACAGCTAATTCATCAAGGGCCAGAGGCAGCCTGCCTACCAGCACCCCTCATCCCACACTTAGAAAGAACAGGTGATGTTCCCCAGATGGAGTGCTTATGGATGTTTCCTCAGTAGGACACTAGCCTTGTGCAGTCCCAGGAAGGTATTCAGATAGTCCCAACTTTCCAGCCAAAGTTCTGACTGGGCTATTTCTTATGAATCCCACAGCAGACAAAGAGACAAGAGAAACCTCAGGTTTTTTTAATCCACAAGAGGTTAAAAATCAGACATTTGCTTTCATCATGGGTCATCGTCCAAGTCTCTGCACCACCCCCTTTCATTCCTATGTTTTCTCCCCATGGTGAGTCCAGCCCTCTCTGCCTTGGTGAGACCTTCTCCCCTTGTTCCTTGGCCTATCTTGCCTTCCTCCAGGGGCTGGGTTCCACTGGGGCCTTCACAGCCACCAGAGTAGTCTCTTTCCCTTGAAAACGCAGAATTTTTGTTTTGCACAAGAGAAAAGCAATGCAGTTAAGTGTTATAGCCCATTACCTAAGGCATTTTTGCCTCCCTCATTCAGTAATAAAACACAGTGATCTCACAATCTTGAGCATTTTGATACATACATCAGGTGCAATTTTCAAGTTTGCTCTAAAAGTTACCTTTCAGGGATAAGTGGCTTTCTATGAAGGTTTTCACTGTCTTCTGGTACTCATCATCTGTCATGTGAAGCTGTGCTACATCCATTCTTGAGGAGCACTCTTCTTTCGCAGTTGTTCCCTCCTCTCGAGGAGGCCAGCGTGCAGCAGACACCCTAAAACCTGCTTTATCCAAGTTCCTAGCAAACGTCCTTCCAATTGAGCTGTTGGATACGAGAATTACAATTGCTCTCCCTTTTATGTCAATGTTCTTCTCCACGATGCTGAAGGACCAGAAGATAATGAAGCAGGTCAAAAATGCAATGGAAATGAATGCAAAGGCATAAAGGAGGCAAGAAAGGATCACTGCGAGAAATAAGTCTGTGGCCAGCAAGACCAAGTGGTGAAAGAGGAAAATCATTGTTAGAAGGATTAGCTCCTCCTCTGTCATAGACAAGCTGAAAAATTAGCAAGGATTCACTGCGTGCAGCCACGCTGTTATAAAGTCGGGCAGCATTGCAAAACATGTGGAGGCAAGGCAAAACCCCACTGGGAGGATGAATCATTGCCTTGGATATGGCAACAGCAGAGGTTTCCAAACCACATACGTTTTCAGGAGAGAACAGTGTTGTGTTTGTCTTGGCTTTGCTGTGCACTTGGTTGCTCTACTGGGTTAAATTCACGGATTCACTTTGTAAGGGCATTTCCTCATATGCCTAGTGACGCTTAGAGGGATTTCTTAAGGTAATGTGTGTGGAATTGGGAAGCCATGGAGTGGAAATAATCCCTGCATCTGCTCAGCATGCTGCAGCTCTCTTCAATTAGCTGCTCTTGCTGCTGCAAAGCAGGAAGTTTTAGTGAGTCTAGGTAAAGACCTGGGTGGATGCAGAATGGGAAGCTGCTCTCTGGCACCAGCACTTGCTTTCCTGTAAAAGATATTGGGCTGTATCACTGTGCCAGGAACAGCTTCCTGTTCCTGCAGGGACTGCGTCAGCCTGGAAAGGCTTCATTCATATCAGAGATGAGAGAGACAAGCTGGGTGCTTGAGAAGGAGCTTTGTCGACTGAAGGCAGGTTTCAGACAGGGAACCATTACTCCTTGTGCTGGCAGAGTGGGAAGCAGAGCAGTGCCATGGAGAGGGGTGCATTTGTCCCCAGGTGGAGAAATGCCCTTGGCATACAGGATGCAGCAGGGCCCCTGCACCAGCAGAAACAGCCTGCTAGGCTGAGGAACAAGGAGGGCAGAAGTAAATCCTGCTGCTACCAGGCTCAGCTTACAGAGGGTCAGGAGAAAAGCTCCCGTATGAGCTTGTTGCTTCCTGACTACCAGCTCTTCCTGCTTTTCAGCCAGTGGGGCTGGAAGCAAGACCTTTCCCATCCTGATCAGGGTGGAGGTAGCTTCTGATCACCACTAAGCATCAGAAACTGCTCTTGAAACAGCATCTCCATTTTCTCCCCCTTCTATATTTAAAGAAGATCAGTTTAAGGCGTACCACCAAGAAGTTTTCCACTGCTGGCTGTGTTGTGGGTGTCGTGTTTATTCGCCACTCAAACTGGAAAGGTACTGGGCACATGGGACAGGCTGTCAGCACAACCCACACATGCTTTACTCGTCCTTCTTGTTTGTTCTCTGTGTGAGCATGCAGGTCCCATCTCACAGCTTGGTAGCACCATGGCATCACAGCAGTCCAGCTCTGAGTGCTTTTGTAATGGACTTGCTGCTATCTGCATCCCCAAACCAACCTGCACACCCCACCCAGCACGTACACAAATGTCCTGAGCTTTATTTCAAGTGGGCAAGTGATGCAAACACCCGTTTTGTTTTAATTGGTTGGGAGAGAAACGGCAGCGTGCAGAGCCCCTGTCCCGCCGCAGGGTGCAGGCGCACGTGGGCACTGCGGCTGTGAGGCTGGGCAGGCGGGGATATCGCATTCCCATGCTGGGCCTCGGATGCTTCATCCCCCAGGTGCCAGTGCTGCAGGCCGGTCTGATTCAGTTGGGGAGGTTCGTGTTTGGGTGCAAGGCAGATTGATCCTCTGGGAGCAGAACTGTCACTTACTGCTAGCATTATCTTTAGGGCCTGTCAAAAATGTGCTGAATTGTGAGTGTGCTGTGACTGAAGTCATTTTTTCTCTGCAAACAAACAAACAAACAAACAAGCAAAAAACGATACTTGGCACTTTGTTTAGAAATGAATTTGTTTTCAATGATTTCTCCCTCCTGAATCTTCCCGCGGCCGCAGGGAAGGCTGAGCTCACTTCCCGGAGGCGCCACCCCCGCGCTGCCCCGCGCCGCCGGCGGTGCAATGGCGCCACCTGCCGGCCGCCCCAGAGAGCGGAGCTGCGCCCCGGCTGCCCCCTCGCTCCTCCAGGGGAACCCGCGGCCCTCAGGGACCCCTCTGCGGTCAGCGGTTCGCCGCCAGACCGAGCCCGGCCGCTCGCCGCGGTGGATGACATTACTTCCACCCTTCTTCTGAGTGAATCTTCCGGATCCTGGAAGATTTACCTGGACCTGAGCAAGGCCTTTGACATGGTCCCCCACCACATCCTCATCTCCAAATTGGAGGGAAGTGGATTTGATGGGTGGACGACCCGATGGATAAGCAATTGGTTGAAAGGCCGCAGACAGAGGGTGGTGGTCAATGGCTCTATGTCCAGGTGGAGGCCGGTAACAAGTGGTGTCCCCCAAGGGTCTGTCTTGGGACCGGTGCTCTTTAACATCTTTATTAATGACATCGATGAGGGAATTGAGTGCACCCTCAGCAAGTTTGCTGACGACACCAAGCTGAGTGGTGCGGTTGATACGGTGGAAGGAAGGGATGCCATTCAGAGGGACCTCGACAGGCTGGAGGGCTGGGCTCGGGTGAACCTGATGAGGTTCAACACGGCAAAGTGCAAGGTTTTGCATTTGGGCCGGAAGAACCCCAGGCACCTGTACAGGCTGGGAGGAGTGGTCCTTGAGAGCAGCTCGGCAGAGAAGGACCTGGGGGTCCTGATGGACGAGAGACTGAATATGAGCCAGCAGTGCGCTCTGGCAGCTCGAAAGGCAAATGGGATCCTGGGCTCCATCAGGAGAGGGGTGGCCAGCAGGGACAGGGAGGTGATTGTCCCTCTCTACTCGGCTCTTGTGAGGCCCCATCTGGAGTACTGTGTCCAGGTGTGGAGCCCTCAGTACAAGAAAGACATAGAGATTTTGGAAAGGGTCCAGAGGAGGGCGACTAAGATGATCAGGGGGCTGGAGCACCTCCCCTATCAGGACAGGCTGAGGGAGTTGGGCTTGTTCAGCCTGGAGAAGAGAAGGCTGCGGGGTGACCTCATTGCAGCCTATCAATACCTGAAGGGAACCTACACCCAGGAGGGGAGTAAACTCTTCAAAAGGGCTGACAACAGCAGGACTAGGGGAAATGGTTTTAAGTTGAAGGAGGGAAGATTTAGGTTGGATGTTAGGGGGAAGTTCTTTACTAGGAGAGTGGTTAGGCCCTGGAACAGGCTGCCCAGGGAGGTTGTGGATGCCCCGTCCTTGGACGTGTTTAAGGCCAGGTTGGACGGGGTCCTGGGCAACCTGATCTGAATGTGTATGTTTGGTGGCCCTGCTAGGCAGGGGGGTTGGAGCTACATGATCCTTGAGGTCCCTTCCAACCCGGGTGATTCTGTGATTCTGTGATTCTGTGATCCTTCCCAGAAACGCAGTTCTCTGGTTCGAAAAGAAGAAAATCACCCAGCCACCCTCAACCACTGAAAAAAACAAAAACCAACCAAACAACAACAACAAAAAAAAACCCACCACCAAAAAAACCCAGCTCTGTTTGTAACGGGAATTATTTCTCTGTTCAGTGATTCATCTCAGTCTATCTATGAGTAAACATTAAGATGAGAAGCAGTATTGTGGGTCAAGAAAACCCTTCAAAGCTAGCAATGTTTTTTTCTGCTGCTGTAACATCTGGGAACAGTCAGGACCTCAGGCCTGCCCTGCACTTCATCTTATCATATTCATGAGCGTAAAGACATTGTGCCAGTAGGTGACCCATGGGGCAGCAGTGACATATCCTTTAGCTCCGCTGCTGGCTGTCACCCAGCTTGGGTTTTGCATCTTAATTTCTAAGATAACTCCTCAAAGGGTTTCTGCTGCATCCTGTCTTGAATTTAGTTAACTCTTGGGAGGCTACAATATTTTACTTAGCAGATTGTTGTTTTCAGGCCTGTTCCAGAAGTTATTGATTAATGCTGTACTTCAGCATGGGGTTTGGTGTTTCTCATGTTAAGCAAGAGGATTGAATAAAGATAGCTGCAATGAGAGCTAAGCAGTTAAGTCATTGCCTCAGATTTGTGTTCCTCTTAGCAAAGCCACCCAGATGTTTTCTGCAGCATGTCTAGGGGTTTTCACTAGGGTGAGTGTGGGTATGAGCTGATTATCTCACAGCAGGCTTGAGCCTGCCTGATTTGCAGTTTTCCTCTAAAATAGGTGTGTCAGCCCACTAGCCTGTTGGTGGATCAGGTGAATTCAAAGGCAGCTGCCTGAGAGGAAAAGGAAGAGCCAGAAAGAAGGGAACTGAGTTTGGACCGTGCTGTTGCTGTAGTGTTCTACCATACCTCCAGCAGTGTCTTTCTGCGGTGCTGCCTGAGGCACTAAGAGCTGTGGCCAGAGACAGGCTCTGATTCAAGGCAGGCCTTTTGCTTTGCAACAAGTGTCCAAGTGGCAACTGTCTCCCACTCACTGCTCTTGTGCAATGATTGGGAATTGTTCTCTTAGAAATAACAGAGATCTGCTTTTGCTGCTAGGTTTGATGCTCCTTAAGGATGTAGTCCTTTTGAAAAAATTAGTTAGCCTTTGCTCAAATGCTTGTCTGCCTGAAGAGGATGCTTCCTTTGTGGAAGTTCACTGTGTTTCAGCTGTAGCTTTATTTGGCTATGCAGTCCAATATGCCTGCTGTAAGGAGCTGTGTGCATCTAGAGGTCTTGGGAGTGCAGTTACTTTCTGTGTAACAAGACTTATCTTAAGCAGATCCTGAAGTTCTGGTTTTTGGTTGCTATCGCTACCACATGCTGCTAACTGAGCAAGAAACAGTAACATTTCTTCTGAAAGCTATGTTATGAAGTTGTATGTCCAGGAGACTTGGATGCTTTACAGTGTTACCATGCAGCTTTGAATCACTTTCTGGGGACTGAGGTCTGCAGCGCAGACTTATCTTGGCTATTCTTTTGCTGCCAGCAGGGCAAGAGAAAGCAAAGCTGAAAAATAGGAGTCCAGGGGTGAATTGCCCTCAAAACTTGACAGTGTTGCTGCTGGGGCAGGTTTATTCAGCTGCTCACAGAACACGATGGTTGAGCTGTGCTGGGCTTGGCCTGGTTTTTACTTGAGTACTCCCTTTTCAGTGGGGGTAAAAGTAAACACTTGAATAAGGTTAAATTCCATATTAATTCTACAGTGCTTTCCTTTGGGCTCA